CTCTCCCCAGCCCACTGGGGGCCCGGCCACGGGCTCCCCGGGCAGCTGTGGCAGTGCCGCCGGGGGTCCCGAGGGACTGGCCAGATAGAGGCCAGGGCATGGGTCACTCAGGTAGACCTGGCGGGCGCTGCGCAGCACCAGAGAGACCAGCAGGTTCTTGTGCAGCTTGATGCCGCCGCGCTGGACCCGTGAGTTGTAGATCTTGCCCAGCGAGATGCTGACGATGCGGTGCGCCTCCAGCTTGAACTCCATCCTGCCCGCCGCCCCTTCGCAGGCTGGCGCAGAAGTGAGGTCTGAGCCCCGGCTGGCGTCCAGAGCCGGGAGAGGAATCGGAGACGTCAACAAGTCCGCCCCAAGACTCCGAAGAGAAACGATTCTCGTGGCGCGCTCACTGACCCCCGACTCCTCCTCTCCTAACAACTATCACGTCTCACGTCCGGTCGCTAACTGAGGGAAACCCTGCCGCCCGGCGCGTTATATAGGTTTCTCACCCGCCAATCGCGAAGGGCCGCCAACCGTTCTGGGGCGGGATGACGCGCCCTCGTGCTCTGCGCGCAGCCAATCGGAGCCCGAGGAGGGGCGCCAGGGACATTCGAACGTTACTCCCGCGGAGCAGGCTCTTAAAGGGGTCGAGCGTGTGGCACTGTATAAGTGGGTACGGGTCCTATGTTCTTAGGCCGGGTGATGGGGAGGAGGCATAGCCTCTGTGTTGTTGGTAGGTTAAGATTCCGGTTTGTGCGCTGGTTTGCCAGATACAAAGCGAACTAAACCATTCGTACTTTTATCCGAATATGGTGGTGGACTTTGCTCTGCAATAAAGTCCTGATCCTTTCCTGATCACCGTCCCTCAACCCCCACTTCCATTCCCAAGGCTACATACACCTATAAGCTCCTGGCCAACCCTGGCTGGAATGGAGATGACGGAAAAATGCAGCAAGGGATAACAAATAGTATTACTACAAGATATTTAGCAGATATTAATTTGGTATGAGTCCCTTGCCCCCTAGAGTCACATACACTCTCAGCTCAAGAAAGAAATTCTAATGCCCAAGAAAGAAAAAGGTGGTTCTAAAAGTTCCTAAGTTTTGATTGCTCATCAAGAAATTGTGTCTAGATACAAAATGATCAGTTCTATACTAAAGCCAGCATCTATCACTTTGTTCTCTAGATTTTAGAACAAACGGTTGTCACATGGGTTACAATGAAAGATGGTACAGGTTATTCACGATGATTTTTCTTCAATACAAGGACTGACCAGCCACCCTTGGAAAACCTAGCAAGTTCTAAAAATACAAATAGAGAAGTCCTGTGTTCTCATCATGATGTCATAATTTTATTTTGTGTCAAGGTAAAAATATAGAGGAAGAGTGTTCCAGAATTTTGTGGTCAGTCAACAACTTAGCCCATCTACTGATTCTTGGTACATGGCATTAGGGCAGAATCACCACAGGGTTGGCTAGGGTCCTGGACTAGGTTCTTGGAGAGTCAGTTGGAATTAGTCCCAGCTAAGCTCCACCACAGACCTGCCTGATAACTCTGGGTAAAAAACCTCAGAACACTTTAATTTCTCCAGCTCTAAAAGAGAGAAATCACATACACATCTTCTGTCTTTTGCAGAAGGTAAATGACTACTCAGCCAGTTCAATCTAAATCATAAAACTAAGCACAGCTTTCTCGGAGTCCATGTTCAACTGTTGGCCTGACCAGGGTTTAAACAAGTGGTATACAGATACGACATGAAATGAAACCAGTTTTACCATCGGCTAATTGATATAAACAAGAGTTAAGTTCCTATGGCATCTCATCAACTTTATAATGAAACGACATTGAACAAAGTGACACTGTTTGAGAACTTGCTGTATTTAGTTAGGAGAAATACTAGTGAAAGATGGGCTTGATTATGGCCAATTCTCAGGAGCCTCCCAAGGATGTGATGGCTCAGGAACATTACCTATACCCACAACTTATTGATGGTAACTGACACACCAGCCCTTGAGACCCAGATTTCCTCCACTCTAGGAATTTTCAGCTTGCATAAAGGAAGAGACAGAATAATAACAAATAATTAATAACAACACAAATATAAGCAAGCCTTATATTTTGAGTAACAACGTGAGAAATTTTTTCTATTTTCTCTTTCTTCGAGAGCTGTTAGTCACTATAAAACACTGATCAAGAGCACAGGCTCTGAAGACAAGCTCCCTGAGTTGGAATCCCACTACTTTTTACTAGCTGTGTGGGCTTTAGAAAGTTATTTCACTTCTCTGTGCCTTGGTCTTTTTTATCTTAAAATGGAGATAATAATCGTGCCTACCTCTTAAGTGTTTTTGTGAGGATAAAACAAGATAACACACACAAAGCTCTCCGAACAGCGTGGCATATAATGAGCTGCCAATGTATGTTTTCGGAGTATGTCACCCCCAGCTCAAGTTTGGGGTGAGAGAAGAGGCATGGGGTGGGGAGAAGATCATAGAGGGAAAAAAGAAGTTGTATTTGAGGAAGGTATTGAAAAACTCTAGAGGATCCACAAGTTCCAAGCAGCAGGAACAACAGAGTCCCGTGTAGGAAACATCTCATTTGGCAGATGTGCCAGGCATCTACAGTAAGTGGAAAATGCTGGAAAAAGAATCTGGGGCTACATGACAGTGGGTCAGTACACTTAAAGAGGACCACCTAATTATAAAGCTCTTGCGGGAATTTTGGCAAAGGGCTATGGAAGTCTGAACTAGGTGGAGGTAGCAAGAAGGAAAAAGAAAAGAAAGAAAAAGAACTTTAGTGATGATCTGGGATGTGCACCACCCCCATCCACCCAGCCTTCAGTGAAGCCTTTCTTACCCACCTGAGCTGGGCATCTCGCCATGCTGCACCGTAAGAAGCATACTCTTTCATCACTGACCTCAACACTTCCCCCTGCCACACGCAGGGCCCCTCCTAAACTATGCTCTCAACCAAGGTGGGAGTCTATCTCATATTTGTAGCCAGGAGATAGCGAAAATACTTAACAAATGGGCGACACAGGCACTAACCATCAGAAGAGCCTGGATATCCTTAGAGTGCCAGGGGTTATGGAGGCTCCTGCAGGAGGGGCTGGATGGCTGGGAAAGGGGGCACTTGAGGGGCCTGCCAACCAGTGTGAAAGCCTTTCAATATTCTCACAACTGGGGTGGCTGTAGCAGTGCTTCCTGAGTGATTATACATTTGGATTAATGAATCCTTAATAATGATATTGTCTGCCAGGCACTGTGCTAGTTACTTCACAGGCATTATTTATCATCCTTATGAAATTTTAAAAGTATATGTTGTTATCTCCATTTACAGATGAGAAAGCTAGGATTTTGAAAGGTTAAGTAATTTTCCCAAAGTCAGAAAGGGTGGGATTCAATTTCGAACCTATTTAAAGCTTGAGAGTAGGGTTCTGAGGCTGCATTACCTTGTTCCACCTCTTACTTGCTGTGTGACTTTTGGAAAGTTATTTCATATCTAGGTGAAATGTGAAAATCATGTCCTAGTTTTGAGACATGAGCAAATTATTTAACCTTTCTATGCCTAGTCACCTATTGTGTAAAATGGGAATAAAAATATCTATGGTGCTTAGAACAGTCTCTCGTACCATACAAGCACTTACTGCATCTAGTTATTGTTTTATTAGTGCCTAGCTCAGTAGTAAGCACATAGTAGGTACAGTGTTGGTACCTGTTGAATTTTGAATGCTTCTTCTACTATACCACACAATAGGGGCTTAATAAATGTCTGCTGACTTGAAACTGAGCATGATCACTGTGATCATCAGGATTTCCTCTAATCCTGAGACAACTAAACGCAACCCTGAGAACTCATCTCTGGAGGGCCTGGGCTCTTATAATCAGCAAGCTTCACCTCCACCTATCAAGAACAATAGGAAGAGAACATATCCTAAGTTTTAGGAAGCAGGCAATTGAATTAGAGTTTGCTGTTATCAATCTCTGCGATTTTTCTCAGTTAAAAAAAAATTTGGTGAAACTATGAGAAACACCAGGGCTATCAGCAGGACAGAGGAAACAACATCTCTGGAAGAAGTGGCCAAGCGTGTCCAGCAGGTCTGCTCTGTCGACCCTCCTTCCTCATTTTTTGACTAGGCACAAGGAGATTAGTTTGCTGAGTGTTGGCCACAGCTGTTCCCACTTAGGCACTCCCTGAGCCCTGGCCTGGAGATTCTTCCCAGTACAGGGGCCGTGTACCCACTGCTATTGACTTTATGTCTTGTTTGCATGACTAGATGAAGGCTAAATATTATTATTAGATGATTGCAGAGTTCATATTGCCTTGAACTGAGTCTAGTCTGTATAAGAACAATGCAGACTCATTATGGACTACGCACACAGTAGCTCTGTGAGAAGTAACAATGAACGCGAAGAAGGTTGGTGAAATAAAACTTATCTGCAGTGTGTCTAACTTTCAACGCTAGGACATTTGGAATTATTTATTTATTTATTTATTTATTTAGCTTATGTACGTGAATAATTACTTGTATGACATTCTAAATTTTTGGGGGGGAAAAGCTCTATAAAAATACATTATTAGCATTTTATGTAAGCAATACTTCTCTTGCTTCTCTGAGAACAGACAAAAGTTGAATTCAACTTTTTCCTCTCTCGTGACTGAGGCATATTTTACATCCTTTTTTCCTCTTGACTGCTTGATGACTATAGAATTTCTTTATCTTCAAATAGCATTTGACTAGGGGTGGGCACCAAACCTGTCTTCTTTCCTCCTCCCCATTTCCTTTCTTAAATTATTACAGCTCCACCCTCTTTCTTGTCCTAAATTTTGTACCTTGGTTCAGAGAGCCTTAGGTTTTTTTTAATGATCATCTTTTTATATACTTTGCCTTCTTTCATAGTCCTAAGAAAACAAACCCCTTAATAAGAGCATTCTAACTCATTAAAATGAACCTATCAAGCCACCGAACTAGAAAACACCAGCTTTTAAAACCCAAGACCCACACTGTTCAACACTGTAACCACTGGGCGAATGTGGTTTGTGCAGCTGAGGAACTGAATTTTAAATTTCATTTAATTCAAATCTAAAAACTGAAACAGGATAAATAAAATCCTTTTCTTAAAACTCAACTTTATGGTGTCATATTTTTGAAATTTGAAAATTTAGCATTGGAATTGATGCTGTAATTGTAAAATACATAGCAGATTTCAGACTTAGTATCAAAAAAAATGTAAAATACCTCATTAATAGTTTTAGAACAGTTTCGTGTTGATATGATAAAATTGTGGATATACTGGATTAAATAAAATATATTATGAAAATTTCTTTTCCATATGTGGCTCAAAGTTTCTTTTTACATATGTGGCTTAAATTACATTTCTATTGGACAACACTGCCCTAGGGATAATAAAGGGATAGAGAGGTGTGGACATATAAATATGTATGAGCATATTGTGAGCAATTAACAAATGTCCTTGATTAGAGA